TACTTCCAATTGCTGGACTCTTCCTTTGCCTGGATTTTGAATACACTTTATAAAAAAAAAAAAAAAAGAGAGAAATATTGGCACATGACCGATTCCTAACATTTCAGAACAGAGAAAAATACAGCTCTTAATAAAGAGCAATAAATTTTGTTTCCCTGTCAATGCAAGCTACCATCCCCTTTTTTACATTTGGGAAGAGCTGAGTAGAGAGAAAGTAATTATTTTTTGTCGGAAATTGGTGAATTGTTATGACAAACCGAAGAATAGAAAGACCTGGGTACAGGAAACACCACTGTACTCTGCCACTGTTCTGTTTTTCAGGCACTGTTGACTTCACTGGATTACGCTGCTATACTGGTAGAATGACTGCAATATGAAAAGGTGGATCTTGCTCCTAAAATGACCAGGAGAATTTGCTTCCTTCATCTTCCCCATTCCTATAAATGTGCCTAATTGTGGTGAAGCAGGTTCAGGACCTGCTGAATGAAATGAAGCATAATGACTCACAAGAGTAACGTGTCCTGTCTCTTTGTGTAAACAAGGATTAAATACTGGTTTTAGCTACCAAATGGCTTTATTGCTCCAGTTTGTTTTATGGATTCTTTACCACTTACTATTTAATTAAACTGAAAACACAAGCCTCGCTTTATCATTAGTCAGCCTGTGAGCAATCATTAGATGTCACCAAGCCAGCTCTTCGTGTGGTTTGACAAACCTTCCTTTTGGGGGTAGGATAAGAATTGGTTATTGGATTTGGCTTGGCTATCCTGAAATCAATATGTGCTGTCAGACTCCGAACAGCACTCTTCTGCATGATATACGGAACATAAAATATAGGTTCAGTGGGCCTGGTTTGCTATTGCATTTCGTCAGCGTTATAAACATACACCAAAACATCCAGCAAAACCGAAGTCACACACAGTTGAATCAGTCTCCTTGTGCCCCATGGAAATACCCTGCTTCTTTGCAAAAATCTTTCCACAGAAAGCTTTCTACATGATATCATCATGTATTTCCTCATGGGCACTCTTTAACCCTTTCTCCTGTGACCAATATCCAGTAATAGAGGCATTCTTTGATAACATTGGCCATTCTAGTATATTTTGCTCTTCTTTCTTTTTATTTCCTTTTTAAAGGGTTTGAGTTTGTGCGTCTGTGGCTTTTTTTTTTTTTTTTAATTCCACCCTGAAAACAATTTCAGCTCATTCGGTAAAGTCACTGTAATTTTTGCTCAGTGCTTTAAAGTTCGACCTTCTCTCCCAGTATTTTCCATCTAGCAAGCCAGGATCTGAGATCCCTCCTGTGTTTAATTTAGTCAGCCTTTCAGATTAGCTCACCACTGCCCGTGTGTGTGAGGGAGCAAATGAAACTGAGCATGAGCTTCATGACTGCTACTTACCTAGCAAGGCTGCCTTTCAAATTTTCTGTAAGAACAACAGATTATGCACAGTGAAAAAAAAATTATTCTTGTAAACTTTTCTAAAGACACTGAGAAAAAGAACAAACAGGCTAGAAAGCCCTGAAGGTGAAAGAGGTATCAGGAACATAGGATATCTGCTAGGAGAGTTCCCAGGCAGTGGGCTACCTAGGTTTGTTGAGCTGTTTCTGAGACAGGCAGGCAGCTTGCTGAGTCAGTGCTCATTTAGTGTCCTTCAAGAATGAATTAAAAGTGGTGAAGAATATGCTTTGCTTCCTCAGTAGGATTTATTTTTTTTGCCCTGGAACTGTTTTGGGCAGCTTTGCCTGGAGGAAACGGAGACAACTGCCATTATCACATAAAAGCAAGACCACTTCCTCCAGGACAAAAGCCACAGGTATATGGGTCAAAACGGCAGCTGGAGGTCTTTTCAAACGTGTGAGCTTTTAATAGGCGGACTCAGAGTAATTGCAGAAGGTTTGTACCAGACCACCTGGAAGCAAACTTCAGCTGTTTACCAATAAGGATAAAGCACCTCTGCCTAACCTCTCTTGTTACAGGAATTTTACACAGCTTGACTTAATCCAGGCTGAGATAACAAGCCTCATATATGAGGTTCTCAGGAGACTTTGTTCAGCTGATTTTCCAAACAAGCGCTGTACTTTTAATTTTGTTGTAAGTGCACATTAATTACCCAGGAACCTTAGACGTACTTGGTAAATCTGGTTGTCACAGCAGTTGTTGCCATGCTACGTGGTCTGTTTTGCATTTAACTTTTTGGTATGGTAATATTACAAAATAGCATACTCACTGTGGGGAGAAAAGAAACAACCCGCCAAGCCTCCCTCTTCCTAATATGGTGAAATAAAAAGCCCTGGTTTGAGCTAGCTGAAGTGCTGATGGAGCCAAAGCCCAAGGATCAGTCTGGTGTGGTGCATGAAGAGCACAAGGGTCATGGTCAAGCTTCACACTGGGAGGGCAGGAAATGTTTAAATTCCCTGACCATGACTAAAAGATGGGAGCCAGCGATGCTATCAGGGGAAAAGCCCTCTTCTTGTCCCAGCACGTGCTCGATTCCAGACTGGCAAGAGCATTCCTTCGTAAGATTGCTGGTGCGGGAGCTCCAGGCTGTGCTGTAGAGCTGATGCAGGGACTTATTTTTGACGAAGGTTTGTACTAAGCAGGGGTACGAATTGCTCAGTGGACAGCAGCATGGGGGGCTCAGGCAGAGCCCCTGGGGCCACAGAGGAGGCCGGAGTGGGAGATACGCACCCCTGACGCCAGGCCTTGGCCTCTCCTCTCTGCTTGCACAGCGCCCGGTGAAAAGGGGCCCCAAATGCCATTAAGAGTGGCAGGAAGTTTTGCCTTTTTCCTTATTTGTGCTCACTATCACCTTTTAAACAAAAGAGCGCAGCTTTTCACAGCAGTAAGCAACTGGCTGGCGAGAGCTGTTTCCCCCGTCCCCACCAGCTCCCAGCTGAAGAAGTGGGATTTTTCTGGCTGTTCCTCAGGTATTCTGCTTCTGCCGGTTACAACCTCTGCTCGGGGACGTTTGGCACAGTATTAACTCACCATACATAAGCCCTGTGAGACTTGCATTTATTATTTTTTTTTATCCCTTGCTGATGAAGGGAAGAAAGGTGAATTAATTAAAAAAAAAAAAAAACACAAAAAACAGAGGCCGCCACTTCCAGATTCATAATTAACGTAATTACGATTTAGCAGGTACCCCAGACATCTGACAGTTTGCAAACTAAAGCCAACTGAAAAGCTTGCATCTCCCCAGAGGGATAGCTACATGGAAAGCACTCAAATAGCTGTAACGACACTTGTGTCACAAATTCTTCTCAGATTTGGTGATAGTGGCTTGTTCTAATTAAAACAGCAACAGTTTCAGGGCTATGTTTAAAAGCAAACAATCATTTGCTGTTTATGAGGGAAAAAAAAGGATAGAAACACTGAAGATAACACTTCTTTTCCTGGAAGACGTGTCTCCACAGCACCAGAGAACATTTTCTTCTGCTGAAACATTGCCACCCATCAGAAGGCTTTGCTTCCCAGCAGCTGACCGTGAGCACACGGGCAGGTTTGGTAGCTGAATAGTCTGTATGACACCTCTTGTGTTCAAAAAGGAGCAAAGGCCTGAGTTTTGCCCTTTTAAAATGATCATAATATCCACAGCTGGATTTGTTGTGCTCCATCATTTCCACCGTGCTCCCCCCGCACCAACCTGGGGCTCGGACCTAACCCAGAAGGCATGGCCTGGGACCACCCAGACAAAGCGAGGAGGCTCCAGGAGCCTCGGGGAAGAAGCCAGCCCTTCTCTGGCAAGGGGGGATGCAGCAGAGGCACCGGCGCAAAGGGGGGAAAGCACGTCCTGTCGGCGTTGTTAAATAATATATTGTTTACACATCCATTACGAAAACTTTGACAAGGAGGGAAATACAGAAAAGGAAGTGACTTTTTTTTTTTTTAGTGGAGTAAAAGTGATGCCTGTGGTTTTAAACAAAGGCTTGTTGGCAGGATGATGCTATAAAGAAAAGGAAGAGAAAGGGAAACTGCATTTGAATTAATTCAGATAAGTGAAGGCCAGAAGACCTTATGACAGAATTTTCCATTAATTCCTGTAGTCTAGCTCTCTGCAATAATTACGTTACCTCCTGAATCCTTTGTACAAATATTGTTGTGGTTGTTACTGTTTACTGTAATTACTGTTGATTACACTTACAAAAGCTTCTTACAGTATTGCAATCATAATAACGTGAAAGAACAAAGTCAGACAAGACTTTTGTGGTAGGTATTTTACAAGATTTTGTATTAACTTGTATAACTGTCTTCAGCTGCAAGAATTTAAAGTGAGAAAAGACAAGAACAAAGGAGTAAGGAACAAACTTCTTTGTTCTGGTTCCATCACTCTATTGAACCATCACTTGAAATTTGATTTTTAGTGAATCATAATTTTTTTTGAACCTGTGATCAAAACCTTCTATTTGGCCTAAAACATACTATTTCATTTCAAAGACAAATTTTGGTAAGATTTCATTTATTCTAATTTCATTTCAGAAATTGATTATTTTTTAAAGGATTTTCAAATAAAAAGTGATTATTCTTCTGAATTAAAATATTTCAAGTTTTTAATTCTTTTCTAGAGTCAAGATGAGTTTGTAAAATATTTCATGGTTCCCAAGTCTGATTATTTTACCCCAAAGAAGTTTGCACAGAACCATTTCAGCCAGTAAGCCAAACAGGAAGAGATAGAAAGAGGAACTGAGGCACAAAGAAGTTAAAAAGTGCTTCCAGTGTCTCATTAGATGGGTATCAGAGTTAGAAATACTGAGTCCCCCTCTAGGGTGTAAAACACTAAAGGATATTAAAAAGAGAAATTATTAGATGTTAAATAAATTTCCAGCCATAACTGGAACAGAGATCATGAAGATCACCAGAGCTGTGCACTTGGCCTCCAATATCTTGTTCCCTGCTCATTGGTACGGTCACAGTTGAAGCCCTAGTGTGTGCTTTGTCTTTGTGGTACAAGTTAGCGTGATAGAAAGATATTTTTATTTTCATCTCTATCTCTTTTCAGAAAGTCTCTCCCTCGTTGTCGAAGAATTAACAGGATGCTTTCCAACGAGTCAGCACCTCCTCCTGCATTCAGTCGCTCCAACTCACAGGCCTCCATGGACAGCACCTCCATGGAGGACTTCTGGTGCGAAGTGGAGAGCATCAAGGAGAGCAGTGAAGATGGATCCGAAGAAGCAACGCTCTTGGAGTTCAAACCTGCTGATGGTGAGCATAAACACCACTTCTTCCTCACACCTTGGCTTTGCCTCATCTCTTTAGCGATGCCCCAGTCTCCTTCCTACTGTCATCCAGTATAAGCAAAAGTGCTAGGCTGGGTCTACGATCATTGTAGCTCTACTTCTGAATGTCACAGTCAATGTACAAGAGATCACTGGAGAGGAACAATAATTCAACCTATTTTTTGCCCCAGGGCTGGTAATTGGCTTCTGAAGCAGGTTTTTTTTTTCCACCAACTTTATTTGTACTTCAGGAGGAGTCATATGTTGTAATTCAGAATAGAGAGGCACTAAATGTAAAATTCATCTCCCATATTAAATAAAATAAACCAAGCATATAAAAGTACCAAAAAGTTCATTTAGTATATTGGAATTTTCAACTTTTTGGCTTTTGATAGGATATAATGCAGAAGTTATGAAAGTCTTGAAGCAGATTTTAGTTAGATATTGTTTGCTGCTATCAGAAATTTGATAACTGCCTCTTTCTTTGATTGTCCAATTTAGATATAATTCAAGGAGAGATAAGAGATAAGTCTGAATAGATGTATGCCTACATCACTCAGACTCCCCACTTGTCAAAATTCATTAATCAATTATACAAATTATGCTGAAGGTATTACTAGCTCATTCTGTTACCTTAATGTTTTCCCCTCTACTTTTTCATAATGTATTTGGAAAAACATGTAATAGTCTGCACTAGCTTGTTGCAATGCGGCTTTGTGTTATATGATTTGATAATATCTAAAAGCAGTTCTTGTTTTTTTCCAGTTATGACCCAACTTACAAATGCGTTATATTGTGCAACACAAAATATCAGGTGTTACTATAGGGTGAAACCGAATTTCATTTAAGGTCATGACCCACTGATAACTGCTGCAACCCTTTTCATGGCCACTACTCTGGTAACTACTGATCTAGGGACAGATCTTGAAACAATGGCCTGTTCTTGCCATACAATTATTAACGTGAATGACGATGTATTTTTCTTACCTTCTTGTGCAATGACATGTCATTAATTCTGCTACCAGGAAGAAGGGTGAAAAAGGGGAAAGGGTGCTACTTTATTAAGCAATCAAATGTGTAACCAGTCATGATCAGTATCCCACATAGAGGTATCTAGCTCCAACCACATACTGCTTCCATGGGGAACACCTCCCACTCACTAGTTCCAGGTAGGGAACTAGTTCCTGGAAGCAAAAGGAGAAGACCTGTGTTCACCAGAAGTCTTGGTCTGCCATGAGGGTTATGGTCTGGCAGCTTAAATCCAAAGTGCACTTCTTTGTGCTGGCTTACGGACCCAAATAAAAATAAAGCAAGATGTAACACTGAAGCTTTATGGTTATTGTTATGGGAAGGCAGAAAAGCAGTCTGCCTCAATCATGTTGACCATATAGGGAAAATTCCTGTCTGATCATGCTCTCTACCTTGGATACGCCAGAAAGAGATTGAGAACCTCTCAGTGTCTTCTTCATGCGATTGTCAGTGTGAACTGGGTGTCCCTGACTTGTCTGCATGGTCAGGGGAATGTCACATATCTGTGAGTTACCAAGCTGGATAACTTAGTAGGACAAGGCAATGCAGGAGCCTGTTTTCCATGTTCTCAGAAACTTTTCCATCGGTTTCATCACTGCTGAGCTAAACCTTCACAACAGTGCAAATTCTGCTGCAGTCCCATTTTACCTTTTGTCTGATTACACCATATTACATTGCATTGATTTTTTTTCCCTCTGTCCTGAATTAAAAATGAAACTGCAAGGTAAAATGCAATATATCTCCACACTTCATTTACCTTCATACTGTTCTTTTAAACACATATATATTGCATACATCCACACACAACCAGGCAGTGCTTGTTCTAGTTATTAGCTTCAGGAATATATTCAGTCTGGGATTATAAATCTTTGAAATAATAGTGAATTCCATTAAGCTCCTAATAGGATAATACTCCTTGCCGAGGATCAAAACACTGAAAATCAATGAGGAAGTCCTCAGGGCAAAATAAAAACAAATATTCGTCACCCTTTTGAGCTGTCTTTGAGAGGAAGAGGTGCAGAATCCTTAAGAAGGAAGCCAAAGGGTGATAGCAGCCAGGCACCACTGATATTGTCGAAACCACAAGGCTGTTTTTTGCCAGACCGCATGTGCAAGGGGAAGACATCAGCACACTTACTCTGGTGATGTTAGTAATTAAGGTCAAGAAAGAACAGAAGATCATAACAAGTGATACAAGGGATGAAAATGTAGGGGAAGAGGAAGTCATGAGGTATTTAAGACGGCAGTGATGTGCAGAACTGCTTTAACACTTACTGTTACAAAGCTGGGATTCTGTGAGTTATTTGAGGTTATATCCGAAATTCAAGGAAAGGCACACCTCTTTCCTGGCAATCTCTATGAGAAAAAGAGAATTACCAACCAGAGGGAACCCTCTTGATTATCTTTTTGTCTTCTGGTGAAGCAGAATCAAACACAGTATCAAGACCTTGCTGTATAAGTAGCTACCACTATAAAAATAATGTTTTGTAAAACAACATGGTTTTCTTTTAGCCCTTATTTAAAACTATATGTCATAAAATTTTGAGGGTTTTTTAATGCAGAAATTCCTTCTCTTTAATAGTTTTACTCCACTGGTTGTTGTTGTTATTTCTTAGTCTATTGTTTGTGAGTGGTTGGAACAGGAAAAGGGCAATAGCCAGAGAAAACAAGTCAGAGGGGTGGCTGGTAAGCAGGCACAATTTCATGTCTGCTTTACTATTTTTCATAGCATCATGAAAGCCAAGTTTGATTAAAACCTAAATTCTTGGAAAGAATATGTCAGGATGAAAGCCAAAATGAATATAATTAAGAAACTTGAACATGAATGGATGTGGCTAGAGCAGCAGCACACAGAAATGAGACCTTGTTAGAAAGAGTGAGGACAGCAGAAGAACCATTGGTTCAAAGCTTACAAAGGAGCAAAAAGAACAACCTGTCATCCTATCTGTGGATGCAGAAAGGGTCTGAGTAGAGAAAAACTGTTTCACAGGATACAGGGCTGGTCACAGCCCATCTAACACAGAGCAGGGGTTTTAGAAGCAGGTATTTTTGTAGGGCTTTGTAAAGAGCCAAGGCAGTTAACAATGAAGTCAGTGGAGGCACATGTGTAAGATGCTTTCACTTGTCCTTACGGTCCAGCCCTGTAATTTTCTTTTTTGTGTATCTAACTGCCAAAGCACAGCAAACTGGTATCTATCAATCTGGTTGCATTCTGGTGTCAAGAAGAGGCAATAAAGGGAGAGTGGAAATACCAGCCTGCCATTAAGACCAGTGCTGGGACAAGAACAATAAGTGCATTCACTAGTTGTTTTATAGAACATGCTGCAAATTAATCCATTTCCTGTTTGACATGTTTATTTGTAATACCTTTTCTTCAGTCAAAGATGGAATGCAATTATTGTCTTGTCTCAAGCAGCATATTGCTGAGCTAGGATTGTTCACAGAACCAAAATGAAGGCCCTCAAAGTCTCCCGTGTGAAGAGAGATTTTAAAAGACTACGACTGTTTACTTTAAAAAGCAGACAAGTAAAAAGGCAAAATTTAAAGTTGCTAAATGATTTAGCCAGGAAAGAAAATACTTTTTCACACAGTGCATAATGTCACTATGGAACCAGTTGCCATGTTGAACCAGTTAAGAAGCAGGTATTGAACAGGATTCAAGAAGTTATTATTCACTAATCAAGATATCAAGAAATTCTGGGGTGGAAAGTGCTAGCCAGTCTTTGATTATTATTAGAAATCAGGATGATACCTGGCATGCAAGGATAGCTATTTCTGCATCTTCCACCCCTACCTGACCTCTTTGACACCTACCCTACCTGGCCTTTGTTCTTTAGTGAGCAGCTCTGGCTCTTAATCATCTTGTTCAAAACAGACTATTGGACTAACTGGGCATCATACTTCTCTCAGTGTGGCATCCTCGCTGGGTGTCTGATTTCCAGCTGACTTTGCACACTGAATATGAGATTTAAGATGCCAAAGACATTATTCAATTGTATACACCGCTTCAGTATTTTTGCTTATTTTAATTGGAATACAAATTTAATTTCCACATTCAAAATGGCTTCACCCAGTACAAAAAGTGGTATAAATGGTAACCGAGGTGATTTACACTCTTGAATGAAAGAGGGGTTAGTTTTTTGCGACCTTGCTGTGTCGAGCTTGGCACTCCACTGCCTTCTTCACATGAGTGTGTTGATGCACAGGTTAAAAATACCTCTTCTGTTCTTCTCCTAAGCCTCTCCTGTGCAGAGACTGCCAAACTGAAAGTTGACAGTATGTTGATAAAACTAAATTAATTCACACTTGTGGCCTAAGAAAGATTGGAAGTGGAGTCTTCTCAAGGTAAAGGCTAAGGCAGCAATCCACCGTGCCACCTCCCTTCCTTCAGCCCCCTCTCCCTCCTGTGCCAGGCCTGGTAACACGGTCTCTTCCTCCACAGAAGGTGAGCTGGAGGCAGAATGGCTGCAAGATGTAGGTTTGTCTACGTTGATCTCGGGAGCTGAAGAAGAGGACGGCCAAGCCCTGCTGTCCACTCTGACCCGAACTCAAGCTGCTGCCGTACAGAAGAGGTACAACACCTACACTCAGACCTTGAGGAAGAAGAACAAGCACACGGTCCGGGATGTGAGAGACATCTTTGGCACCAGCGACTCTTCTGTAAGTAGCCATTGCACCCTAGCAATCCTTTTGAGCTCAATTTTTATGCATTTTGCAAGGAGCTTGTCAAAGCTTCTACCAGACAGCAACCCTTTTCTGCTGACAATGTACAGAGAGCCAGTAGCAGTTCCTGCCACTAAGTCCAGACTTTTAATGCTGTATTTAGTACATTTTGAGAGAAAAGGAAGAAACCAAATAAAATAGATGGTGCACAGTTTTCCAACTAACCTGTAACAAAATGTTGTATCTGTTGCCAGCCTCCCTCCTGCAATCTCCTATCAAGACTAACATTTACTCCCTTATTTTTTGGAAATCGGTGAGTTACTCTTGGCAGCTATTCAAATTTTTTGCTGGCTTCTGGGGACACTTGCTATTTACTCAGCAGTCTCAGCGGTAAAGTAAAACTTCTCTAATGAAGCAACTGGAGTTCAAATATGCATAAGCAATTAAACACCTGCCAGCATGATTGCAACTAGTACACTAGCAGTTACATTTCACTTACGTAGCAAATGAAAATCTATTAACTGTTCATTTGCTTCATGGCTTCAGAAATTAGTGTTGCCACTGGTGATTTCATCCAGTTTTCCTTAAGGATAGATCTAAACTCGCCAATTCCTGTCCCTACACATTTTGATTTTGGTGAATGCAGTCAGCTGTCTAAGCTCAGTCCAATGCTCAAAGCAACATGCATGACTCTAGGTATGTCACTCATGATATCTTAAATGGGAGTCGCCAATAAGCTTACAAGCTCACCTTTTAAATTAGTATTAAAGTTCTCACCATTGCAAAGCTCCAAGAAACTTTTTCATTATGAAATTGTTTTGTCCTACCTTCTCCTCAAGGCTTGGCATCCTGGGTGAATTTAAAACAAAAAATTGGGAGACAAAGTTGTAGCTGCATAGTTATATTAAAATTACAAAGGCATAATGGTTGGGGAGTTAACTTATTTGTCTCAAATTTAAGTATCTGGGCTCTTTTGAACCTCTTGCACATACCCACAAATACATACAGAAGCATCCAGAAGTTTCCTGTGGGCAGACTTTCTTGCATGAGAAAACCTTAGGCATGTTTGCATGAACATTAAAAAGTTGATGGCACTTCTTATTAGATTAGCACACTTCTCCCATTTCAAGTATCTCTAAACCTTAATATGTTTAAAATTTTTAAAAATGGCAATAAAGCCTAACTTTCCTAATAAATTTCAATCAGCCAAATAAATGTTGTACTTATTCTCTCAGATGGGCACATTATTGATCTGATTTTGACCTGCTTATTTTTCACCTCTGCTTCTTACTTGCTAAAGGAATCAGAAGCTTCAGAGCCATTGCCCTTCAAATCACTGTTTTACCTCCTCTGAAGTTCAGCTCACCTACTAGTTCTGCATTTTGAAAGTCTGAAAGATAAGACTGAAAAAGTAATTAAGACTAATTCTTCTTCTATCAAAAGTATGCAGTTCTGTAGGATGCTTACCTAAATGTTAAATACAGACACACAAATACAACTCCAGAGCACACCATCACCTCCCTCCAAAGGGCTACAAAACAGATTGTATTTCTAAAAGTCTGCAAGTTTCCCAACACCCTTTGGACATTCCCATTGACCATTGCTCCTATCTCTGCTGCTTATTATGGGATTTAGAAGGTTTGACCTAATTATCAGCTCCTCAGGGACAGGTGCATTGCAGGGGGAGTGTTGTGCCCCAAGCTGAGGGTTTCCTGAGCAGCCCTTTGTAAGGGGGTCTCAGCTGCAGCAGCTCTTCATGCTCGACTGCCTCTCCAGTCATGGCACTACAGCTATCAGTGAATCTTTGTGATGAATCAGTTTGGGAAAGTGATCTGGAATAAAAACCACCCAGCCAAAAAAGAAGAGCAACAGGGAAGGGCAAATCTTTTCAGCAAAGCTGCTGAAGAGAGGCTGGTAAAAAGACTGCTTGAAATGATGAGCAGGAGCTTTGCTTTCCCATCCTGTTTTTCAGTTGGGAATGGAATAAGTAAACATGTTGCAAATAGCAAAACAACTCTAATTGCTTCACCTAACTCTATAATCCTCCCCATTAGGAGGATGGACTCACACCTTCTTCCCAACAACCTAAGCATTACGGGAGCCTAGAGGGATGGGTCACAGGAAGGATTACTCTCTTCTGTGGCTAATGATGACAGAAAAGGTGATTATCTCACTAGGGTCACCTGAGATGAGATTTAGTGAACCACTGAAGAAGCGTAGATAGTTGTCATCCAGAGAGTGGGGGGGGGGGGTAGTTTCTTTTCTCTGTTCAGAAAAAAAAACGCTTGCTAGATGTTTTGCTATTACTGCCCAGTGGCCAGTGTTTATGTGGGTCAACACAGAGCAAAGGGTGCTTTTCCCTCCCGCTGCCTTGAGGTCCATCCCCTCAGGGCAGGAGTGTTCCCTCAACAGCCCAAGTGGACTGAAATGAAAGGAAATGAGTCCATATCTCCTTTTGGAGGGGTTGTGGTTTGTTGTTGGTTTTTTTTTTTCTGCTAGCCACCCTGGAAAGGTACTGTGATCCCGGGCACAAAATGCAGCACCTGCGGTACCTTCCCCTTCCGAGAGTGATGCCTCGGTGGAGCAGCCTGCCCCAGCTGAGGTGCCTCTGCTCATTTTCAGACAGGCCTACACACAGCAGGCTCAACTGACAGCCACACAACAGAGATTGAAACTGGATGGTTTATTAATCACAGTGGCCTGATTTTCCTTACAGCTGTACCCCGCTGCTTCCATCAGAAGCTATCGGCTCTGGTAGTGCTCAAAGCCTAGAAAAATCAACAGCTGAATACAAATTGGGGGGAAACATTGATTTTATTATTGGAGGGCGGAAACGAAGCATTGTGCTAATTAACAGCCCAATCTTGTACGGTGTGTTCAACCAAAACTCTTCAAGAGTTTTAGGAGCATTTTACTTGAGCAATGCATGAGAAAATTATGTCCTAACTGAAGAAGAATCACTAACTAACCCAGAGCTATTCGCATGAAAAGGCATTTGTGATGATAGTGTTCAGAAATATGAATATATCCAAAGCATGGGCGACTTGTATCCTGACCGGACCTCCTTTGCCTTTATTGCCCTTAGCTGCAGGGCTGACAATAGAATTTGGTTGCTTTGGTGCTCCAATGATTTGTTTTTACATCTTCTACAATGAGGGTAACTACTAAAGAACTATCTACCTCATCTCCATCTTTTTCTTGCTCTTTTGATTTCCTCTTCCCATTGGAAATTCCTGTGTACATTGTGTCAGTAAACACTGGGCTCATTTTTAGTACTGGATAATGAGGTCTGTCTAATGAATCACTTTCAGTCAGAAATCAGGATATGAGAGGTTTTGCCTTCACTGGAGCCCTAGCCAAATGAACAAAGCTGTCCTGACGTAGTTAAGAACCCAAATTGACTCTTGGCTTTTCACATTCATTAAGACATGAGCTTCCAAAATTTTTTAATCTTCTTGTTTACTAAATAAAAAATCTGGATCTTGAAAATTCATGCATTAAAAAGACTTTTTTCCCTGCTCTTCTCTTTCTTTATACTGCATTATCATAAGATTTAAAAAAAGGGGGCTAGAGATAGTTTTTGCTCCTGTTTGGAAGAAATTTTCACAAGAGAGACAGAGATTTGAATTCTTAATACAGTCTCCCTGTGAAAACTGGCAAATGAGACCAAGAATATGATGTTTTTAGCGACCCCTGATATTGTACGTGGTTCATGATATTCAATTGCCACAGGCTAGAGCAGCCTGGGGGCTCTTGCGAGCAGTGCTGGGTGCGAGGCTGAGCTGTGCTGTTGGCTCCCCACCACCGGCTCCACAGTGCTCAGTCAAACCGCAGTGCCGCAGCTGCTTCACTATTGACTTCACCTCTGTAACAAGGCTGGAAGGATATTTTTTTTTTCTTAATAAACTTGAATCACTGTAAATCTATGCTGTTCGCGGGGTCAGACATTTTGAGCAGTGAAAACCAGTTGCTAATGTTTACCGTTAATTTCTCCATCTGGATCTTAACAGGCAGAACCACTACTTTTGCGTTTGTTTTTCCCAAATTGCTGAGGCAGGTTTAATTGTCCCCTTCACTTCCATATTCCCACCTCAAATTTATCGCACTTTTTTATGTCCTAAAACCTTTTGTGTAAATGTTATGGGATTTTATCATAAAAGCATCCTACAGTTCTCCTTTAAAAAAAATCAATGGTCCTTACAGTCTTCTGGCAAAGGAAGTCCACGTGACTCAAATCCTGTTTGCTCTCAAGTTTGCAGGCCATTTAATGTACTCTCTCAGGAGAGATTTTATTCATGTTACATTTGACTTTGTTACCCAAATAGCTCAGAGGATAAGACCAAATAAAACGACTGCAACATTATTTCAGGCATCCAATTGGAAGAACTGCCTGTCTTTTAAGTATCTGCCATTTTTTAGCAGCTTGAAGGCTGCTCCTGTGCATTGGCTACAAATGGGGAAGATAAAATTTCTGCCCCGAGGCATTGCTGCTTGTTGATAAACAGCCAATTTAGCAATTTAAAGAGCAATTTAAAGAGTGGCTGTTCCGGGCTCATCTGGGCCCTCAGCTGCAGGTTTCAGCTTGATGTTGCTCCATCAGGCTCGTGGGAGTGAGGCAGCAGGTTTGAGAAAGGGGGGCTCCCAGGGCTCCCACCAGGATGCAAAGACGGACAAAAAAATACAAGGCCGGTTTGGGGCATTGTAGTTATTTTCGCTGAGTACCCTTCAGAGTATTTTTTAAATTCCTGACATTTGGGGTTTTTTTTACCCAAGAATGTGGAGGTGAGCTGCTACTGCCCCACGTATGCACAAATGCTCAGACTTGCCTTTATGATGAGTCCCAAAACCGTTGAGAACAAGGGCAAAACTCGGCTGCCAAGATGAGGTGACACTGCTTGATAGTCACCCCCTGGGCTTCGGAGCCCCATCTCTGCCCTGCCACACATGCTTCCCCCACTTTCATGCAGAGCAGAATGATTTCTGGAGCAGAAAGAAATGAAGTTGACTATAGAAAAGGTCTTTTTTTCAAAAAAAACCTGTTTTTTCAGTTCACTGATGAAGTGTTGGTGTATAACCTATGAGAGGACATCTGTCCATTAATAATTTGCTGGTGCTCAAATCCTGAAAGGGGTTGAACAGCCTGGTTTCTGACAGATGCGTGGGAGCAGCGGATGCTTGACGTGTGTCAGAGAGTCCTCAAAAAGATTTGTGGCTAAAATGATTAAAAGCAGGATGGATTACAATTTGACAAGGACCTTTCACTTAGTACAATTATGTACAGCAATTTACTTAGCAAATTTCAGTCTTTATATAGGACAGGACTCATTAGCTACAGCGAGCTGCAATATTACTGACCTCAACATGATCCAAACCTGTGCAGCCTGGGGAAGATTAATTTTCAGGCTTGGCTATGAAAAATGTGCTCTGGTTAACCGCTACAGGTTGTTTAAACTTGGCAAAAGAGTGTAAGGTGAGAATGATAACGGTGTTGCTTAAACTTTAGCAGTTTCTGTCCATAGACGTTTACCTTCACTGCAGTCTGATCATTTTTCCTTGCCTATCAGCCCACATTTGAGACAGTTCCAGTGTCACCAGTTCCTTCTAATGGTATCCAGCTTCCTGGGCAGAAGCCAGTTTGGAAATCAGTTAGCTGTGAGTATGCCAACGTGTAACCAGTGTTCACTTCCTCCTAGGAAAATGATAGACAGAAAGATCCTCTTGTGGTTCTGAGGTTAGTTCCCTCTTTTGTTTTGGGGCCATGCTGCATATAGTTCCTTAAAATCGTTTTCAGCTTATTGTCATGCAGGAACCAAATTTTCCCATTCAAGGCTGGTGTTGTACAGACACAGATTGCTGCCCTTGAGGCGTTGGTGTCTAAAATGTACTCATCATTGCAAGGCTGGGAATGTAAAAATAACCTCTAAACAATACGGTGCAGAATTTGTCCAAAATACGTCAGCAGTATATTTTCTCGTTGCAAATCACGACAAGAAAGATGCATATTTCTTTCACATTTCTTCTCCAGTACTGCAGAAATTGTAGTGCTAGAGATTTATCATTTTTCTGGTTCTCCCCTATTATTCTGGTCTACTACTGGTGTTATTTTGGACATCCCTTAAAGACTTTGCCCTGACAGCGACTGGCAGTACTAATGAAAATGATAGCTCTGCTCTATTCAGTGTCTGGATAACTGTCAGCAGCCTTCTACGGGAATGTCTATCTTTTATTTGGAAAGCTCTTCCCATCACCATTGTTCAGGGCTTAACTAAAGGGATATCAATACCTGAGTTTCAAAACTAGTCTCTTAGATGTTTAACTCTGGATATAGTGCCACAGACACCTTCCTTGGTTGCAAAAGCTGCTCTGCTGACACCTCTGCTCTGCAAGCAGTTTTACTAGAACAGATGGGGAAGCCAATGGCCAGGGATACCATGGACGGTCTGTGATCCCAGGTCCAAGGATGGAAAGAGAGATGGAAAACATCTTAAATGGCTTGGCCATTAGGTAACATCTAAGGCCACAGTTCAGAAGTCAGAAACCACTTAATAACACACTTAGCTTTTTCAAACCATGCTTGCAAAACAAAGTGCGTTGCAAAAAATGTTTAAGTCCCTGTATCTATAAATGTAATGATTCAAAAATCATGGGGCATGCATATGTTTATAAAACACGTAATGCTTTTTAATTCACTTTCTGATTTCCAGGGCTTTTGAATGCACTTGAGTCATGTTAGTAAACTCTTCTTTGCGATCCTGGGGGCTGAGATTTTACTTCACTTCCAATGAAAATTATGATTCTGTTCCAATTGCATGTGTCTAGGAGCTGGACCTTAAGGGGAAACGTAAAATTGTTCTGAGATGTGAAAGATCAGTCATGAAAGTTGGCAACACTGGAACTCATGCATCTTATCACACTTTGGACTCCATGACAATAGGATATTTCTGTACTTGCTTGTACTGATATAAAAAATTTTCCTCTGACATCCACTAATTCCAGCAGGTGACTAAATTTTAGAGCAGAGCAATAAGTAATTTCACAATATCTACCAGAAATTCCAGTAGATATAGTGTTTTTCACACTGGAAGATTGTACATCAAGTTCTGTTTTGGTGCTACACACCTAAACTAGGAACTGTGAGAATGATATGTATTTGAGCATACAAAATATACGCACAGTGTCTTATGATTGTAAATAAGTCAACAGTGACCTGAGAAACTGTGTCAGCAGCCTTTTTCTGTCAGGAACTTTTATTTTTAACTGTTCATTAGACAAGTGCCAACACAGTTTGCTGGCCTGGGTAGACAAGGATGGAGTACAAAAACTTGATAATTGCTGATAAACAGGAAGTTCCAGCTTGACTATCTTTCTCACGAAAAGCAACAAGTTAAATAATCTAAAATGAAAATAGGGATTTTATTTCTAAGGGTTATTTCCTCCAGACAAAACAGGAACATGCTGAGGTTTACACTGAAATTCCTTTTGAAGGACTTCCTTTATTACTTTCTCAAGATTTTTGTCATCTTAGTTCAATTTTTTAATGTCTCTGTACTAAATGCAAACATGCATTCAGTGTTCATATATAGTTTCCCTTATTTCCAGCTAATAGCTGCCTAGACTGCGGACTAGATAAAGGCAGCCCGTCCATAACAGAAGAGCTCTCCTATGAGGTCTCTTTCTCAGAATCCATCACAGTCCTTCCAAAAAACCAAGAATGGCCGAAAAACCAGAGGTTCAAAAAGGAAGACTCTGCTTTGCCTGTAAGTTTGTTCTCGATGTATTTCCTCAGTTGTTTTCTTTAACCCATTAATTTCCTGCGTTATATCCCCAGCACACTGGAGTCCATTAAGATCCATTAGCTGTCCTTTGCTATGCGTGCTTCATAGAGGCTGCCCGCTGTGCCACCATACCCCTTGTGAATGACTCCCAGAGAGGCACCAAAGCTAAACTGGATATTCAAGCTCAGTTTTAACTTGTACCCATTGCAGATGAATATGTGTAACTCAATCCACATATATTGCATCATCCACACATTTTTCACATAGAAATAAAGACCAGGTACTGGCACTAAAACTAGCAATCGTTTTCATTTCTGGTCTGCTTTCCTACTTTATTCCCCCACAGATTATCTGTCTTTGTTAACACAGGAACTGAAAATTGCTTCACGATGAAGCGGGGAAAGCAAGCCTCAGTCCTGCAACAGTACTGATTGTCTTAAATCAATATTCAGTGCAATGGCACTATAGGGGATACTATGTGAATGGTTAAGGGAAAGTTTATCATATCATCCGACCAGACATACACTGAGAAGTCATCTCATTATCTGAAATTATTTCTTCAAGTAAAGGAAGTCAGTTTTCTGTTTCCATTCAGCCATTTCCATTGCTGAAAACTGAAGCATTAGGTTTATGCTTCAGATACCACCTTTTTAGTGAAATGTATGAAATAACTGTAAAATATTTGGAAGCATTTCCTGAATGTTATGATGCCCTGAGGTCCTGAACTAATCTGAAATTGTTGCTATCCACACAGACATTGAGTTCTCTGAGAATTATCCATTTGTCCACCTCAGGCACCACCAAATAAAAAGAAGAATCTGAGATGCAGAAGTAAGCTTCCCTGATGAAAGGATAGATAAGACACCAAGTAGATTACAAGTGGTGTGAAATCCCCGTGCTTTAGTGTGTCTGGCTTTTTTTGTGGTGGGGATAACTTGGTGCCTTGTGGAGAGCAAGGATATCTCTGCATCTCATCATGATTTTGACAAATCAAAGGTTCATCCTTGCTCTTGTAACGGCAAAACTAGGACCCCAGCCTTCATTACAACACATACACATAAACACATACAAATCGTTCTTTGCAATAGCTCAGACAGTTTCCAGTTGATAGAGCAGGGAAACTGGTGACAAACAGGGAAGAGAGGATGCTACAATGAACATCATGGACCTGTGGATGCATAATTCGTTATTATTAGAGAAGGCCAGTATTATGCTGGAGATGAACATGCACGCAGGACATCATTTTGTGTGCTTGAAAGAGTACATGAGAAATATGCCAGGTCATCACAAACAGAGAGTTTCTAAATAAAGTCAACAATCATAGATGTTGACATTGGCAATTTTCTTCATATGCTGCCACACACGGTATTTGTTTTTTTCTGTAGTGGGTCAGACCGTAATGGGCTCCAGCAAAAAATCACCTCTTGCTCTGTTACACAGAGCGACCAGTCACCTACACTCTGAAGGATTGTCCCCCCTTCCTCAAGGTGGGCCAACAGGGACAGACTGAAGTCTACACATCATACTTCCTTGCTAGAGGGTTCTCCAGGGCAGGTCTGACCCATTAATATAACTAGCTTCATGGATAGCATATACTGAGCTGCACAGATAGAGATTATATGTCATAAAATCATAGAATCACGGAATCACAGAATCTCCTAGATTGGAAAAGACCTATAAGATCATCTCGTCCAATTAACCTAATGCTGACAAACCCACCACTAAACCATGTCCCTGAGCATTATACCTACACCACCCTTAAATACCCCCAGGGATGGGGACTCCACCACTGCCCTGGGTAATGCCTTCCAATGCCTGATGACCCTTAAATGGCATGTCCCCTGAAGCTCCCAGAAGACCCAGCTCAACACCACTGTCTGCATAGGGTTACGTGCAATTTCCCCAATGTGGGACCATGATCAATGTGACTTAGCTGAAGATACTATAGAACTAAGAGTCAGTAAGCATTTCAGGCCATCTTAGTACACTCTATATTTCCACATAGAAACAACACGTCACACAAGATCAGACATGATCCTCAGCCGAAGTGCCAGTAATTTAATTTCAGGATAGCACAGCTTCCTTCAGTGGTGCATATTGTGACTCCACTGTTTGTAAGAAAAATCACTGGAAAATTGTGACACAGGACAGAAGAAAGAGGTCCAGCCCCAAACCTTGTGTTAACACTGCATCGCATCATCGTGAACCTAGGAGACAGTGAGCCACCACGGAAAAATCATTGTAGCTATTCTTTGTAATCGGTTTTGGAGTGTTTGTCATTTTTTCTTGGCAAACATACTTTTTCTCTTTCAAAAAGAAAATATATGTATACCCTGTATTTTTTTCCTTATTTTCAAGACAGCTTATTGTGCTTTGACTGTTTGTGGACATTTTGCATCACTGGAACCAAAATGTATAGATATTCTTTAGTAATTTCTGTGTCTTCAGAATACTATCCTCTGTGTAGCTTTTATTACATTATTGAGTCTCAGCATAAGAGTAACAGTGGTATTGCTGCATTCCGGGGAGGGAAGATTCTGGTCTAAAATGCCCCAGATGGTATGTAAATTAGTTATTCCATCCCGTGCACTCTTTATCCCCCAATTATGATTAACCCCTATTGAAAGACCATGCGCACTATGATGTAAGAAGTCCTAACCTACATGATCTAGATGTCCTTTGTCCTCTCTTACTTTTAAAACCTAGTGTAAGTTTAATTCTTTTTTTGTGGTTTTTTTTTTCTTAATCTGTTTGACTGGCTTCATCTAGAGATGGGTTAAACCTATTGAGGCCGTATTTGTTTAAAAAAGGGAGGACTGGGCTGAAATATCCAGAAGCAAAACATTATTAAAGGCTGGGTTTCCACTCGGTTCCCTAAAGGGAGGAGATGATTTGTAATGCTATTTATTTATACCTCTGAGTAACAATTACTGGTTTAAATTACAATTAAATTAAAAAAAAATACAATACCAAAGATCCACAGTTCTTTGAAAAGTATGTTTTTTACTATAACTTCTTTATTATGTCTAACAATTATGTCAAAAGCCAATGGGTATTTGTTCTTTTTGACATTTGTACAAATGCTTCTGTCATGACGCAACATTCCTGGCTCTGGTCCATGACACTGCAACTTCTAAAATATGTAGACATCTTCACATGCCCCCAAATCACTAAGTATCATTTAGTTCAAGCCTACTTGAATAAATTATTTCTTAGCTGCTGGGAGTCCTGTTTCTAAGCCTAAATGCTTCTTGAGTGATAAAAAGTACCACTAAATTGGCAGATTGGCATCAGGACTAAGTGATTTTGCTTCTGGACTTTTCCTCAGATCTTCAGTTTGGACTGTCCTTTAAGACCTCATAAATTAATAGTGATGTGCAAAGCAGGCATGGATTCATTACACGCACACACACAATTGATATACCACCGTATCCATGATGAAATATGTCAGCTGCTTCAACAGCGTTCAAAGATGCTCTGGGGGAGGCAGAAGCAGAGCAAAGTGCTATATCCTGCTGAAACTGGGCAAAAGTTTAAGTAGCACATAGCTCATTTGTCCCAGCTGAAGTCCAGCAGTGAGGTTAATACCTCTGCTCCAGCACCGCTTACCTGTCAAACTGCAAGGGAACATGAGGAGCAAGAAGCTCGATTTTATGTTTCAGTTGGATGCAAGTTATGTCAACATACCAGTCCAATATAGAGTGTTGTAGTTCAGCTCTTTGGTGTTATCCATCTACCCTAATATGACTTCCAATCCCATATGGGCATCCCTTCAAAAACAAAAATTCATGTCCTGTAATTTTTGTGCAAATAAAGATGCTACCTTTCTCTACTGTAGAAATTCATAGTTCGGAAAAGCCGGTTCGGACTGACAGAGGTTGGAGACCTCTCTCCTGAAGATATGAAGAAGATCCGCTACCTCTCCCTGATTGAGCTAACGGCCTTCTACGATGCACTGGGGGTGGAGCTGAAGAGGAACCGTGCAGAGAGGGTGCGGGGACGAGGTACCGTGCTGTGGCATCCCCATGGTGGCCACCTGGGCGTAGCTAAGAAGATGTGTACGAGGCTGTGTTTTCTCTCTTTCACGTTTGCTGTTATTATTTTTAAGAAAATGGTCTATTTGGAGTCCCTCTCACCATACTGCTGGAGAACGATCAAAAGAAGGTTCCTGGAATAAAAGTTCCCCTCATCTTCCAAAAAGTGAGTATAACTCAGCCTACTCAGCCACTAAGATTTGATCCTCCATCATTTGCACTGACACTCAAAGCAGTCATCAGATAAAAGAAGATGCAGACTTCACAGACTTGAAGGTGTCTACAGGTTGTCTGTCTGTATGCTGTGGTTTGAAAACCTTGTGACAAGGAGACAAAATTTGCCCTTTTTTGTGTTTTATCTGTGGTGGAGACCTCTTTCGATTTTTGTAGTTATATGATACCATACAGAAAACTTCAGGAAGCAAACATCTGGCTTCTTGTTTCCCTTTTTTTATTATATTAGAGAGCCACACAAAATCTTGTGTGTGTGCAGAGGTGGCAGAGATGAGTTGTCGCAGGAGTTTTTATTTCACATGTATTCAAACCATCGGTATTACTTAGCTATTATGTCCAAAACAGAAGTGGTATCTTCTCATTGAGATTTGTGTGAGAAGACATCATTTGTATAAGTCATTTGACAGTAGATGTCTTGGAGACAGGTACACAGACACAAGCATACATGTAATTACACAGGTTTACATGGACTCGAAACTACAACATATTTTCCTGTAAACACTGACAAAAGGGGAAGTGGTGTGGAGTTTCAGGGGAAAGGCAAACATGGCTTGAATATTTACATGAGTTTGCAATCAGCTCCACAGCTCCCCTGTCAAATTACCATGGGAAATTAGAAGGGCCCAAGAGCTGGGACAGGAATCAAAGCTGGTGGTGAAAATCCAGAGCTGTATGAATAAATGCTAGGAAATGATATTTTTTTTCCTCATTCTAAATTATGTTAAATCAAAACATACTTATTTTTTCATAAAGAACTAGAATGGAAAGCTTATTTCTCTATTCACAGAAATTTCAAACTAAAATATCCTGGGATCATTTTCTAATCTGAGTTCTCAGTTCCCAGGAACGTATGTTATCTATAGACCTTTCCATTGTGCTCCTTGGGGAAAGACTTAAACATTTCTCAGAGGTTAATTTTCCCTCAAAACACCATTGTGTTTTACTCAGTGTATCTGCCCTTTTATTAATATGTTTATATGTCAATTGTTCTATAGCAGTGCCAAGTCTCAAATCAAGGACAGAGGTGCCTACTGCATTATGGGTTTTCTGTACTCTGCATACTCTGTATTTCAGGGTCAGGAATATGGAGAACAAATTAGGAAGGTTTACTTACATGAGCTAACTTGTTTTCATTAGCAGATTACATAGAAATGTATCTTTATCAAATTAGTTTCAAGAATACCTAGACTGAAAAAAAGTTAATAGTATTTTTAAGTGCTTCTGAGTATTTTCCTGGGTTTTGTTGGGTTTTTTTTTTCAGTTGCTGCTCAAGCTTGAGGAAACAGGTTTAGAAACTGAAGGAATTCTACGAGTGCCTGGATCTGCCTCCAGAGTCAAGGTACACGCTCACGCCAGTTTTCAGTCTCCTGGACCACAGACCCTATGTAAAATAATACAGCACACGCAAATGCACACTGCACATAAATACAGATGTGTGTAGATAAGCGTTTCTATTCCTACCAGTGAAAGGTCAGATTGGTTCCTGGGAACCGATAAATCACAGAACATGTGGTCTATTGCTTTGCATTTGTTAATGTTCTATATAAAGCACAGACTTGATGTTGAATGCAGTTTTTCTCCGCTAAACATTGAGTGGTCCTTTCAGTTTATCTCTGTCATCCAGAACTGCTGTGATTTTATCTCTCTTTTAATTTATTTCAGTTGCTAAACTGAGTGAACTTCAGATAAAGATCTTATTCGATGTCATTTTAACCTTTGTGTCATTTTATTTCTCATTTATCTTCTGTGATCTTACAATTTTGTGTTCCAAGTGAGAGAAATTTGGCCAGCATCTACTGTTTGGCAGCTTTCAGTACTGCATTTTCACAGGCTTTTTTGCAGGCTATGAACACAGGCTAGTTGGTACTCAATAACCTGACATTGCGGTGTGGTAATGCTTGCAATTGTTTCTCCAGGCTAACTTGATTCCAGGAGCTGGAAGGCTTTGGCAGAGACAAATTAGGAAAGCAATTTTTTTCTGGGCTTAGTAGTGTCTACCTCTTTCCCAGACATTTTTTTTTTTTTAAATCTGGTTTAAAGAAATTCTTATAGTGCATCCCAATCCCAGTTTCTCGTGCTCAAGAAAGCTAGTCTTGCTTTCTGAGGCAGAAAGTCTCAACGTCGTGGCAGCCACACAAAGAGCAATGTTGGGGATTGCTAAACATTGATGGGCTAAGGATCATAAAAAATGACTGCACAAGAAAAAGCATCATTACGTGAAATGCACTGAGGATAGGCAGCAGCATCCCAGCTTGCTTTCACCTGTGGATTGATAAAAGCACTCAGCACCTTGCAAAGTGCCACATCTTGCAGAAGGGCGCTCCTAATTTGGCTTGCACTTTTCAGCTTCCTCATTTTTTCATACAAATACTTAAAGTATTATTTCACACAATCTCAATTTTTTTCCAGCCTCTCTGGGGAGATTACACAGCAGGGCTGTGCTCTACCTAATTAAATTACTTTCATATTCTTTGCATATACTGTACTGTGTCTTGTTCCCTTCTTATTCACGACCTATACCAAGGGAGCTACTATAAGATATGACTTTATATGTAACTCTCCTATACTGGGTGGTAAATTAGACTGCCCATATGAAAGTTTTAAATTATTTGAGTTTTGGCTTCATTTAAGTCTGTCCAACAAGCCAACCAGCAAGAGAAAGATTTTTTTCAAAACAGATCCAGATTTCACCCTTCAAAGCCTTCATACGTTATTATGAAATTAGGATTTGAGAGCATTCCAATTTTATTTCAGTCTTGTTTGGAGAAAGAAGAGGCATATGGAAGTGATTAAAGGTTATTCTTCTATAAAACAAAGAATAGAAGAAATAACTACAAGTTTCCCTCTGTAATCTAGTTTGTAACAAAAGCTCCAGTGAACCCAAAATGCATGATAGTCTACTGCAGGATCAGTCACACTTAAAAAAAAAAAAGCAAAACCTTTTTTTAAAAGTACTTAGGTGCATATATATATATATGTATGCATATGGGGAGGGAGTGTATAAAATATACATATATGCTTGACTGTGTGGATATGTATATTAAATGAGTATGTTTCAAAAACCTTGCTTTCTATGTCTACGAATTTTTCCAGTTCTCAGCAACAAATGTGGAGCAGTTTTTCTCTCCCCTTGTGATTTTGATGAGATGAGGATTTCTGGTCCACAGTTCCCGTTCAGTTACCAGGCGAGCATTTAATCCAGGTGTTTGTATGGATTATGTGCAAAGGATGTGAATACAGAGGAAGCTGAGATAGCCCAGATTACAACCAGTAAAATGTGCTAGTAAGAATGAGACTGTAACATTATATACCAAATCCTGAATGACTTTCTACTTCCTTTTGTGCCAGCCATTTCACTTCATTATGTGTGACCATATTTGATCTGTTATTTCCTTCCATTCATGTGAGGCACGGGAAACAGAATCCATTTTTTAAAGTTTTCTGTCTGAATGGACTAAACTTTTTTTGTGTAATATCAAAGTACGTTTGACAAAAACATGATCTGAAACCTGAATGTTAGCTACAGTTGTGATTTGTCACAAATGGTCTCACAAAAAGCAGCAACAAACTTCCTATAGATAAAGTAGTGTTTGGCCAGTAATAATTGTGAAAGATGCATTATTTATGGATATCCTTCTATTACAATAGCCTCCTTCAATCTTATTAACCCAACAAATTTTTGAGGAGCTTGCATTTTCCAGTCATCTGGGTTTGAAGCCAAATTCTGTTCCTACAAGGAACCTTACTGAATATTTCCTATTCACACACGTGTGTGAAACATTGATTAGTTACCCTCCAGAACTAAACAGACCCCTGTTATACAGCAAGATGCTAACATTGGAGAACAAGAGGATTAAATGGGCACCCAGATGACCCAAAATCAATTCTGTCTTAGATATCTTGTGGGTTTTGAGGACTTTTTTTAGCATATATTAAGTGGAGGTTTTCTGACAGTAATGATTGATACCTTTTATTTTTCTATGAAGTGACCAAGTCTAATTATAGCTATCCTTAAAGAAAACATCCTTCTAAAGACAGGAAGACCTGAAGTTAAAGCCATTTGCTCAAGGCCCATGGATTTGGATGCCAACAGATTGTCCAGCAAGTTCACCGGCAGTGAGGAAGAACTTAAATTAAATCACTCCTTTGTGATTTAAGGGTCAAAACCTCTGGACACTGTTTTAAACAAAAAGAGCAGCTGTGCTAAAAATCGTGTTTAACTGAATTTTCTCTTTCTAGTTCTAAAACATTGCACAAAATTGTCTTGCTTTAAAATGCTTCAAATAGGTCACTGGCAGAAATGTAGCTAATGCAAACCAAATTTAGCCTGGGTTGCAAAATATCCCCAGGACCCTGATCTGGTAAGCTGCTCTTTACTCCACACAGCTGGACCTAACCTGGTACTGGTCTAGGGCTACTTTAATTTAACTACGCTGTAAACCTGCCTGTTGTTTATAATGGGATTTCTGAAGTGATCTCAAACTGCTGGGTCAGAAGCGATGATTAAAGGTCGGATGTTCCTTTTATCTTTCAGAATCTCCATCAAGAACTTGAGGCAAAATTTTATGAAGACACTTTTGACTGGGACCAAGTACGAAATAATGATGCAGCCGGACTGCTGAAAATGTTTATAAGAGAACTGCCAAGCCCCCTCTTCACTGTAGAATATCTGCCTGCTTTCATCACGCTAGTGGAAAGTAAGTGGAAAAGGAGTTAGTACGGACTGATCTAGAGAAAATGTAACAGTAGACATTACATTATTTTCTCTCTCTGAAGGAGAGAGAAAAAAAGGCTTAGTGCATTGCCTAAACATTTATATTTTCTGCAAGCTTTCCTTTTCAAATGGAAAAAATTCTCTGCATTTAGCTAATAGCATAGACTCGTTTTGTGAGTGACACAACTGTTTAATGTGAGATTTGAAACCTGTGAGCAAACACAATGACTTTCATATATAGACTCTGATTCACACAAATTATAGATTTCACAAATGAAAGTTCCTGCAAGGTATATTCAGGTCACTGACCTTTAGCTGATATTCTGTTGGATCTATTTTATTTCTCTTCAGGTTTATGCTGAGGTCAGAATATTTGTACAAAGATATATGTGGTCACAGAAAGCTTCGGGCAGTTGGGTTTTGTTTTCAGTGTACATACACCCTCTCCTGCTCAGTACATTTTGTTCATTTCTCTTCCAGGCAGAAAGCAGCAGTACCTTGCAATACCTATTGACTTCATTATAAAGTCACTTGAGCTAGGGCAGAGTGAAACTATCAGGATGGTGAATTTATTAGGCAAATGGGTACAGAAAACTTCAAACCTCTATATAAGGTTGCAGCCAAGTTTTCAGTGTCTCCGTGAAGTAGTATAAAGGGCACAAGGAGGTGACCCCTTCCTATAACTTTCATGTACCTGACTGCACTCCTTGCGAGTTCCAGGCTGCATGCAGTTATGATTGCTTAGCAGTTTGGAGGAGAAAACTGAACATGAGGTGTCTGTGCAGAATAAAGTGGCTTTATTCTGTCTAACAGATATGCTGTCCACGACACACACCCTTTTTTCCCCAAACCTCTCTCATCCACCCTGGATGGAAGCAAATGACAGAATTATTCTTCCCATCTTCTCCACCCCAGCTCTTCTAGTGAGCATTGCACGGTATCAATGTATACCAATTACGGAAAACACGATGTATTTTGTAACAGACAAGAGTTACATTTTGTAACAAGACTCTACATTTATCTAGAGTGCTAGACTTGGGAAAAACACTTTTTAAGTAATAAGCAATCAGTCTCCACTCCAATAGCACAAGTGTTCAGCAAATTACTCAAAATCAACAGTCAAAAAATTTTCTGAAAACAAATATCCATTTCAGTTTGAAAGGAGGAAAATACTTGATCTGTATACAACACATTCTGAACACGGTATCAAAGAGAAACTGGCTAGTACGGAAAAAGATTGGCTCCTTGATATTTAGACAGAATTTTATAGAACCTTGTCTCCCCCTGTGACAGACCAAATATGATGAGGAAAAATCCACTCATTAAAATTGTTTTTATATTTGGATAAGATTATGGTTAATAAATATCTCAACGTTCTAGTCTCAACCGGCCAGTGGTTGCTGTGTTTCTAGAACTGCTGATCAAGAAGGGGTTTAGAACAAACCAATTGTAACTGGGATTTAAAAAATATTAATTATTTATACTCTTAGAAATCTCCAAGATCAAGTTACAGCTACAAGCTCTGCATCTGTTGATTATGCTGCTGCCTGAAGCCAACAGAGACACGGCCAAGGTAAGTTCTTTGTTTGCTATCACCTGCCATCTGTGGTGCTTTTGACTTTTAAATGAAACCCATTTTTTTTCTAACAGCCCATGATCGGATGCTGCACCGTAAAAGTATCCATCTGTGTTTTTTATCATTTCCTTGAAAAGATTTTCCAATTGCCTGATTGTCATTTCTCTTACAAGCAATTAAGAAATAGTTGCTGGAGGTATCCAGCCATTGGTGTCAGCAAATGGCTCCCAGGCATCATTTATTCTGGAGTATCCGTGTCAAAGAGGTGTGTTCCTCGCATAGTTTGGAAAAACAAGGTTCGGTTTCTGGGTTTCTGCATAACTGGAATTCTCTGAGATGAGTAGCTGCCCCCCAGGAGCTTGCCTAGTGCACTCCCAGTGCTGAAGGTCTTCCAGGGCACTGGACTAGACTGGAGGAGGTAGTCTGAAGTAAAACACCCTGAAACATACATCTGTAGCATGGATGTCAGGACCTCAGCCTCAGCTGGTTTGCTTTACAAACCTGTGCCCACACCCATGTACTACTTCCTGGTAGAGTCACGGTGGCTACAAGCATTTTGGGTGCTTGGGAGCTCCCAGATCTGGCTGCAGCTATGTCCTGACCCTAAAAGACACTGGTTGCATCTTTGGACTTGTTCCCACAAAAAGGAAACCTGGGTGAACAAGCTGTCTGGGAGCCCCCAGACATTTCATCATGTCCCCTGCTCATGAGGACCCTGCAGGTCCCCAGTTCTGAAAGTTTCCCACTGGTCAGTTTAGATATAGCTTTATGACTCCAGGTGCCTTCTTTACCTGTATTTATTTGTACCATAACAAAGGACAAGAATAACAATTCTCTTATTTGGAGGTCTACTAGTGCTCTGTGAAGAATCGGAGTTATTTCTTCTACCAAAGTCCATATTGATATAGAGCTGTATATGTAAAACATGCTAGATGAGTAGTCTTAATTATAACTAGGCTTTTATACAAAAATAGAAGTGATGACAAAACTGAATGCATTTCTACTTGCTATCTATAATGAGATTTTAGAAATTTCTCCAACGCAGTTTCTGTTTTGTAATTCCTGGGTTTATAAAAATGTTTTAATTGCAATGTCAGGGTACAAAGACAGTGGTTTTAATGGTGTGGTGTTGCAAAAGGAGTCATTGGCAGACCCCAACTCTAATCACAGCTGCAATCCATCCTATTCAGTCACTCAAGCAAAATTCTGAATAAAATGGCCAAAAGGGAAATGAGTTTCCTTTGATTCTGCCATGCGTGTGCAGAAGTGACCTCAACGAACAACCACTGAGCGCTTCTTGCTTTCATTATCCCAGATTAAAAGTTTGGGGGTTGCTGGCAGAAATTCCTCAGATTATATCACATACAGGACTGGCGCACATTTGAAGAGAGGCTAATCACCCTGGTGATTGCAATATAAAAAGCCTTGGTGAGATACATCAAAATGGATATGTTAAATATTCCATTGCAACACCTTCATATCATATCTACTAAAGGATTCAGAGCCTTAGTGCAGACATTGTACTTGACTTATGGATTTGGGATTATGCTTTAAGCGATAGAAAATTTGTTAATGTATATTTTGATAACATTAACTATTCCTCTGTGATTGACACAGGAAGTTGTGCCAGCAAATATCTGAGTAAGCCAAACTAGAATGCAAAAACCCCCTGAATTTCATCTCCAAGTGCAAAAATAGCAGCTTTCAAGCCAGACACATTGTGCATTTGAAATGATGCATTTCAGAGGTCAATTATTTTGCGACTCAGCCTAACAAGTGCTGTTTTTCCAGGCCTTTCTTCAGTTCCTGAAGAAGGTGGTTGCTAATGAAGGGAAAAATAAAATGAATTTGTGGAATGTTTCTATGATTGTTGCACCAAACCTCTTCATCTACAAAGGGAAACGGGCTAACCAACAAGAAATGCAAGCAGCCGCCACCACAGCACACATTGTGCGGCTTTTAATTCGGTACCAGGACATCCTGTGGACAGTGAGTAATGCTGGTTCCCTCTTTATGGCTCCAGTACAGAGAAGTCTTTAGCTATAAGCAGCAGCTCTGTCAAAATCAAAGTAAACTGACCTTCCTAGAAGAAACAGTTAGCTATTCTTTGGAAACTGGCTGGAGTCTTCTATATCTAGAATGAGATAGGGTGACAGATACCTCTGGATGGAGATCTACCTCGTCTACCTAAGGCATCCATTTTAGCACAAACTTCCCTCTGGAGGTACCTATCCCACACCACTGATTATACAGGAGAATGCATGGGAGAATGATATAATCTAGATGCCTAGGTGAGATATCAAGAGTTGAATGAGATTAAACGACTGTTTAAAGTTTAGCCCATAGTCCTTGCTGGTTGTTAAAGGGAGCTACTAATTGCATGTATCTTGTTAGAATAAATCTTAATAAACTTAAATAGTATCTTCTGCAGCCTATAATTTCATGCGTTTCTAAATCCCCAACACCACTTTTATGGGGAGAAAAAATTACTGTGTATTTTCAGCTCTGGTTTCCTCCTTTAGGTCCCATCCTTCCTGATTTCCCAAGTGAGAAAAATGAATGAGGCAGCAATGAACAACAGCAAGAGGCAGTTGATGTTTGACAAAGGAGTGAGAAAACTTCTAAGGAGAAAGACCATGGAACGGGAGAGACCTGAAAGACCAGAGGTGTGATAAAAATATATAATTTTCAAGGGCAGCCTTAACCAGCCTCCCTCCTTTCTTATCACATAAAAGTTTCTGAGAGTGGGGAGGAAATTTTGCCGTATAAAATAAACTGATCTGGGATCTATCTTGAAAGATGTGCTTTCCAGTCCAACATCCTGATAAGACAAAGCTTTGAGGATTGATTGAGAAAAGGTGAGGAAGGCAGAAAGATTTCTAGCAGCCCAAGCTATAAACTGTTACACACACATGATGATTTTGTACCAATTTTATAAGAAAACGGTCATATGTGGACTGTCCTTGACAGCAATGATCTGTAGGTATTCAACAAATGCATGGATCTGTAGTTGAGTAGTAGGACGGTTCCTATCAGGATTAATTACACTTACCCATGCCCCGGTCCAAGCCACTTAATATTCTCCTTGCAAGCTTTAGTTTTACAGCTTTGCACTGACTTCCTAAGCAGAGAGAAAATCCAGTTTGCCTAACATAGACACCAAAAATGGGTCTAAATTTTATGTGCCTAATGAAGTAGTTTGTGTTGTTATTCCCCATATAGTCAGAGGAGAGAGGGGGATACTTTTGAGGATTTCCAGAGCTCCAGGTGCAATTCAGACTTAGGAAAGTCTGATACAAAAATCTTCCTTTGGAGGTCTTAAAGCCACCAGCTTTTCTCCACTGCTTGGATATGGAGTTTAGGAACTTACTTGAGGTATGCTACTTCAATACACCTAAAATTAACTTATGCATTAGGTACAACATAATTTGGGCAAGAAAGCATGTTGTGTACATGTGCACAACATAGACAATCCCTATAGCAGCTTATATGTAGTATTTCCACATAATAGGTACCCTTAATAACCCGGAGAGAAAGTCTTTAGTGTCTTCCATGGAGGTTTAAAAGAATGGAGGTTGGTGAATTGTAAGAGGAGTAATCAAGGAACTGCTCAAGGTCTCTACAGTTCTTGAAAAACAGTCTTGAAGAACAAAAGAAAAGACAAATTAGGAAGGAGAGATTGTAAGAAATAGAGAATAAGCCACCTGACAACAGAGAAAATGCAGCAGGGAACATCTGGGAAAAAATAGAAAGAGAAATAATATGTATGAATTGTGTATCCATGCTTATTCAGCTTTTTGGAGAATTCATTTGCCAGCATTGACTGAAATATATTGTGGGTAGGATAGACATTTGCGCTGCAGATGGAGACAGAGATGCTTGTTTAAAATGGTGGTGTAGACTACTGTGTTGCAAAACTGTATTCACCCCAGAAGGAATACAGTGAGAGCTTCTGAGGAGAGTCAATTACTGCAGTCATTGCACCTTCGGGAAGGCAAGTTCATTGATCATAGTAATTGGCTTTGCATCTAATAAAAACGAGACTAGCCATGGCAGGCAGCTGAAATACGAAGGCTAAACTGGAGGCAAACTCATGTTTGGATAACTGAGTTGAATTTTGAGAGCACTTAACACAACCCCTGGGTCTCAGATGTTCTAAATTACACAGGGACAGAGACTGGAGAGACTATTGTGCTCTGCTCAGCATGGTATTAACTGGATTAGAACTGGAATGCAAACCTTGCTAATTGATTTATCCGCCATTAATCATGGAAGAGTGCATAAACATCATAGATGATCGTTTGAACCCTACACAAGGTCAAATTTCAAATTAACAGAAACCATATGGTACTTTGATACTGTACATAGGCTTCAATCTAGTTGAAGCTATAGGAAGTGGAAACAGAGAACTGGATCTTCATGCCTCGGGAGAATTTCATCTTAGAAAGGAAGACCAGATATTCCTAGTCATTTTTATGCATTGTGAAACAAGTAGTTGGTTCACTGACCAATGTTAGCAGAAATAACTTTACAAATCTCAGATAACAAATTGACTCGATATTACTGCAAGCAATTAAAATTCAAGGGCTGTACTTTATTCAGCATGCATTTATGTGGTGCTTACCAAGGAGATTGTGTCTTTGTGTCGTATCTTATTATACCCTATCTATAAATTTGTGTTTGTATGACTGTAAATCTGTTTTTTGAATAATGAAGTGAATCCAGGACAGTGAGTTTTGCAAGCAACCTCAAAAGAGTTGCAGAACTGCTTCTGAATGGAGATACAGCAATATTTGCCTTAGACTAACTCTACTGAATATTGATTTTAGGGAGCTGTCACTTTCCCCCCATACCTGCAGTCTGACATACCCGAGGGGGTGATAAGAGTTTATGCTCCACTGCATTCAAAAGTCTCTATGGCAATTCAACTCAACAGCCAAACAAAAGCCAAAGACATCCTGGCTCGATTCCACTGTGAAAACAGGTGGGTAAACCAGAACATTTTGTTTTTCCTGAACAATAATGTCAGAACCACTAATGAATGGATTGTCTCCTTTTCAAAGACTCATTGTGTTACAAGAACTCTTGTTCTAATCTAAAATTGCTAATCTATGGTTACATTGGTCAAAGAAATTTTAACCTCTGATTTTATTCTTTGTATTTTACTTAATAATTGGCTCCTATACAGAATCAATCTGCCCTTTGTTATGCTGCTACTAAAAACATACGTTTTATAGACTTGCTGCATAGAGAACCCAGAGGGATTGTCTTACATCTGCCTATAAAATGTTAATGTTTTTATTTCTGTAAGGTAATAATTATTAACAGTTATGGGAAATGGTAAATTGTATCCAAAAGTCTTTTCTGCAAAGTCTTCCCATGTTACCATATAATTCTATACTTTAAATAAAAAATTAAAAATACATTATATCATAGAAGGCTTGGTTGACTGTGACACAGTAATCTGCCTCTGTAGCAGATTCAGTATTCTGCCTTGCTTGGTTTGGTGGCAGTCCTTGCTTTTGATAAGTAAGCTCACAGGGGCAAAAATACCAATTTTTAGCTTAATATAGGTGGTGGTTGAGAAGGTTATAACAGAAAGATAAACTGAAGGTTTTTTTTTCTATCCTAGCCGCAGTTCATCACAGAACATGAGAGGCCAGATCCAAAGTTTACATGAAATTGGAGGAAATATAGGTAGGTCTCCTTTTTGAAAATTTAATTCTGAATGTCCTTATCCTCCTAAAATGCCTCAGGACAGTGCTGTTTTCACCCAGCTGGGTTTCTCCTACCTTCCAGCCCATCTGCAGGAAAGCAGTCTGACCCAAAAGCTGTTAAAATCAATGTAATGATTCCTTCCAACTCCAGCATGACTGGAAGGGCACCCCGCAGGAAAGAGTGACCTGATGGCTGGATCTCCGCCGGACTCCTGGCAGTCTTGCCAAATTCATCTGACCTTTCACTTACCTTTCTCACTCTTGTAACTGAGCATTTTTCCATGGTTGAGAGACCCTTAGTCTTCCTCTCGCGAGCACATTCCACCTCACTGTCAAGCCTTTTCCCAAGACCTATTTTTTCCTCTGTGTATTTAAGTGTTAACCTCCTCCAAATAAAAAATACCAAATTGAGAATTCAGCCCCTGCATGTATAGGGGTACTATACTCATACTAATCCGTGTGCTTTGTTTAGATTGTAAATTCCTTGCAGTAGAGATTTTGTCGTCTTCCGTGTTTCACGCAGTGACATTTTTGTAATAACAACAGCGGCTGGCCACACAAGTTCCTGGCCTAAAGGTCAAAAACCAGATTTTAATTTGATATTGCACAGTCCTGACTCTCCTTTCTCTATTCATGCTAAAATTCTGGATGCTCTGTTGGAGTCTTTTGTCAACTGTCTGATTAGGTTATTCCTTCATTCTTCTAGATTCAGCTCTAAACAGTTTCTATGAAGTTATTACAAAACATCACAGACTGGCTTCAGCAGCAGTCAAGAAGCAAAGTCTTTATTACTGAGGATGTACTCACACAAAGCTAAATTTGATTAGTGATTCATTTTGCCTGGCCAAACAGGATGACCAACTGATCCTAAAACAGGAGAAGACCCTAAA